AATGCTTTAGCTTTCTTGCCAGGATGGTCAAGTTAACAATTAATTAATATGTGTACCAAACAAATTATGCTCTGGGCAGCACAATTTCTTTTTAATTTCTCCCCACTGCCCCACAAATCAACAGACTGCTTCTGCTCAAAATATTCAAGGAAATGTCTGTGCTTGCCTGGGGCAGAGGCCAGATGCCTTGACTTCCAGCTTCCTTCCATCAAAATCATGCAATTTGGAAATTAAAATCTACAGAAATAATGAAACATATTAACATGCATGCAAAGTCTTGAGGGTTTATAATATGCTAAAAACTGGCAATGCATGTTTATATCCACATATCAACTTGGATGTGCTAAAAAGATTTAAAATATAAAATATGCAAATATGTGTCATATTGTCACACTAGGCCTCTCTAATGGAACTCCCTTTCATCTCACGTCATCTTAATTTCATTAATATTACATGGCCCTTACACCTTTTACTCCTGTTGTTGTTAGGCTGAGAAGATTATGAAAACATGTTAATAGTAGCTTTCACCAAATAAAAGTTGCAATATTCCAAATAAAGCATTTTTCTCTCCTCTTAAAATACAAATGGTGAAGGATTTCACACTATTTTGTTTCCCTGTGGAAGACCAGATAACTATAGGCCAATTAAATTAATGAGCAGAGACCATGTGAATGGCAATATTTGTGCATAATCCTGACTGGCTGCACATATATACAGGTATATAGTGGTATTTAAAATATCCTTAAGGAATGAATATTTTTCTAGTTCTGAAGTATCAAAGGAATAAAGAACAACTTCTAAATTAGTCTGACCTAAACAAAAGCCTGTGAACTTACATTTAATTCCTGGAATACTCTGGAAAATAGAAGAGAGGAAGTTGGAGGAATCTTTTTGCATTTATGAAGGTGGAGAACAATGATAATGTTGGGATTGCAGGCAACTATAATAAAGAAAAGGATACATTATGTCCATTTTGGACACCTTGTCCTGAAACTTTCAGGATGACAGCCTTGTTTTTGTTTCTTTATCTTGGTATCTGCTGAAAGACTCACCTTAGCAACATTAATCATTGGTCGATGGCAAAAGCAACAAGAAGCTTTCTATTCTGGACCCAATTTGCACCAGTGGGGAATAACTAGGATCTATGTAGAAAAGTTAAGAATCTTAGAAGGGGTGCCACTGTGGATTCCATAATAGGTGGAAAATAAGAAAATTGAGATTTAGTTAGAAATTTATTTGAGAGGAGCACTAAATTTAATAAGTTTGGAGAAAAGACCATTGTTAACCTAAGGACATCTGCTCTATAAGTGGCTAGTGGATAAGGAACTAAAAAAGATATTCTGACAAGATCTCTGCCTAGAGTTGAAAGGAAAAAGTTAAATGACACCTGACAGAAGCCAGTTTTGTGGCCCAGACAACTTTTTTTTCTGGGCTTTGACTTATAAAATTATTTGCACAGATGATGAAAGGAAGGATACTCAACCAAGCGTGATACAAACAAGTTACCTCCAGTTTGTGAAGTTCATGTGGAGAAGGCTGCAGCACAAAGTGTGCTGGGATTCAAAAGGAGGATATTTGAAACCAGGTTTCAAAACAGGAGAGAATAAGCTATGGCTGAAGACAGATGGCATAATGCTGACAGATGACAGAGAGAAGACAGAATTCCATAGCTGTATTTTTTTCTGAATTATTGCTGTTATTACTGCAGGCTTTTATTTTGTTTTGCATTGTTGTTGTTTTCTCAAAGAGTTTTAAGTTTATAATTCTTGGAAAAAATGTAAAAGGAAAATACGCACTTAATTATTTATAGGCATTAGAAGGAAGTACTTAGGTATTTTCCTTTTGTTTTCCTTTATTTACCAAGTTTTTCTCTTTGCTTTTAAGTAATATACAATCTAGGAAAGTTGGAAATTTTCTCAATTCATAGAGAAAACACTTTCCTTTTTCTCCACCAAAGACAAGTTCTTTGCATTGCTATGCATAATTCAAGTGATACTGGTTAAACAATTTTATATGCTTCATTTTTAAACCAAATATCACATC